TATTTCATCTTCAAATCTATAGCTTAATTTTGCTGGATATAAGATTCTTGGTTGGCACCCATTTTCTTTCAGAGCTTGATATATGTTGTTCCAGGATCTTCTAGCTTTTCAGGGTCTGTGTTGAAAAATCTGCCGTTATCCTAATTGGTTTTCCCCATATGTAATTTTATTCCTTTCTCTTATGGCTTTTAAAATTCTCTCCTTATTCTATATATATGTATATATATCTTATATCTGCATTTTCATTATAATATGGCTTGGTGTGGATCTGTTGTGATTTTCTACATTTGGCATCCTAGAGGCTTCTTGAATTTGGATTTCCAATTCATTCTTCATGTTTGGAAAGTTTTCTGATATTGTTTCATTGAATAGATTGTTCATTTCTTTGGTTTGGACCTCTATGCCTTCCTTTATCCCCATAACTCTTAAATTTGGACTTTTTATGCTATCCCATATTTCTTGAATGTTCTGCTCATGGTTTTTTACCTTTAACAATGTATGGTCTATCTCCTTTTCAAGATTATATATTTTATCTTCATTGTCTGATTTCCTATGTTCCAAGTGGTCTACTCTGTTGGTGATGCTTTCATTTGAAATTTTAATTTGGTTAATTGTTTCTTTCATTTCAGAGATTTCTGTTTTTTGTTTTTGTTTTTGTTGTTGTTGTTTTTAGAACTTCTATCTCCCTGTTGAGGTGAACTTTTGCTTCCTGTATTTGTTTATGTAGCTCCTTGTCGAAGTGATCTTTCACTGCCTATATTTGTTCTCTGATACTTTCCTTGAGTTCACAGAACATTTTAACCATGTACATCCTAAACTCTTCCTCTGACATTTCTTCTGCTATGGCTGCCAGTGATTCTAATGATGTGGTGTCTTCATCTGTTTTGGGCACTTTCTTCATGTTGCTTGTGTGTTTTCCTTTCCAGCTCTGTGGGTCTATATTGTTATTGTTTTTACCCTATAGGTTTGTAGTACTCTTGTAGGGATTCCAAGACCTCTCCTCTATATGATGTTGTTCAGATGAATCAGTCCTCAAAGTTCTATTTCATGCAGAGTTCTTGGTTTCACATATGTTGGGGATGTGAGGGCCAGAGGATAGAGGGGTAGGGGAAAAAAAAAACTCAAAGGAAGAAATCAGGGTTGTAGCTAGCTTTAGAGATCCGTATCTTTCCTGCTTCTCGTCTCATCCAATAGGTGGGGTCGTCAATTGTAAGCTGGTGTCTCTGCCCTCCAGATGGTGAAGGTAACCAGGATAGGAAGACTAGTCCTGGAAAAGGGTGCCTGGATACAGGGAGTGCCACCCACCAGTCCCTGCAGGGAGACTGCACCTCACGGGTCTCTTTTTGGGACCGCTCGTGTGACTTGAGCTCCCAGAACTATCTTCTTCTCTTGCCTAGAGATTTCCCAGTTCCTGGTCTGTTAGGCTCCAAACTTTAGCCCCGTCTCCCTCTTCTCTAGATGTTCCCAATTGAGGAAACTCTCCCTTGGGCGGCTCCCTGGTCACACTGCACTCCTGTGTTGGGCATCTACTGTGTTGGTTTACTACCGCAGGGAAGCAGGGAAGGTTGGAAACCTGGTACCTGGCTGCTGGAGATCTGGGAACTGCCCCCAGCTAATATGGATATGGCAAGAATGTTGAGCCAAGATGGCAGTGTTCTGCTTTCAGCACCTGAGTGTCTAGTGAGGTAGGAGGAGCCTGGAGAGGTGGGGGAAGCCGGGTGATGGCAGTGTGCTGTGGGTAGGTAGCAGCTGAGTGACCTGCATGGGAGCAGAGTGAAGTCTTGGCAATCTACAGATGTGTTGATAGGTGGTTCTGCTAAGGCGCTTGCTGAGCCTTGCTTGGGCTAGAACTTTGGACGAATATTCAGCGTCCTACTCGAATGCTGAGGTCCCAAGCCCTGCACGGAGTCACTGGTGATTTCTGCGGAAAGCAGCTGTATAGGGGTCCTCTAACACTCTTAGAGATGAAATATTCTGACTAGGTGAGATCTGGATCACAGAGCAACACAGAATGCTGCCTCCCTCTGGCCCGCCATCTTGAGACTTCCAGGATATCTGTTCTTCATATCATAGAGACCTGGTGTCAGAGGAAAAGTAAGATCAGTCCATCAAGGAGGAGTTGATAGTGGATATTATGAAGGAAAATCTTAGATTTGGAGATTACTACAAATTAAATTTAAATTATTAAATTTCCCCATTTAAATGTGTATTCAAGGATTGTTAACTTCATGATAGTTTCTAATAGTTGTGATTCCCAGTCATGGGTGAAAAAAAGTTGTTCTAGTATAACTATGGTAAATTCTCTGCATGAATACATAGACAAAGCTATTTCTACCACTATGTTTTTTATAAAATGTCTCATATTTTTTGCTCTTGTGGACATTAAAAACAATTAGACTTATGGATGATAGGCTAATAGGTTTTGTTTTATTTAGTGTAGGAGAAATAAGATAAGCCATGTGTACTCTTTTACCCTGACTGAAAAATGGGCCTCTGAGTAAGGGTATATGAAAAACCAACCAGAGACTTGTAATATCAGAAAGAGCCTCCAAAAAATGTCCTTCTCTGAGGGTTTATCTCAGCTTCTCTGCATATGTGGATGTTATACATCTTAAATATTTTTAAGGAAGCAAAACCCCATTAAAATTTTTAGGTTTTATCTGCATGCAATTTGAGAGTAACTGCTTTTATTATCTTAGGATTAATATTAACTTCTCAATTTAAGCAACCCAACTTCTAGAACTTATTTTAATATAATTTTCATTGATATTCCCAACCATCACTACTAGGAAGTAAGTATTTGTAATTCATTTATATATATATATATATATTGTTCATAAATATCTAAATAGGTCCCTAACAAGTAAGAACAGGAATATCTAGAAATTCTTAAAACAAATTAAATAATGTAACATTCACATCTAGACTTTTTGAAAGAGCAAAGTTTTGAGGAAAAGATTGAGCAGTAGTGCAGTTAAGAAGGCTGTGGCTTTAAAACTGTCATCTAAAGAGTCCTGGGGTTTCCCTGGAAGTATCTAAGAGCTCAACGCAGAAAGGAGAGAGGGCTCTAAGCTAGGAGTTCTGGACTACTTCCACTGTCTTTAACCCAAGTAGCTTTATTTATTTGATTTCTTGGAGTATACTGATATTAGGGAAACAAAAAACTAAACCAACAGGTAATAGAGCATTAACCAGATCATAGCAGTTAAGTACATACTAACATCTAAGAATATAATGTGCTAGAACATGAAACCTGTATTGGTGAAAGAGATATAATGAATCTTGGAGCTAGGGGGATAACTCAGTGGTAGAACACCTGCTTAGCATCCAATCAATCCCCAATACCAAAAACAAAATAAAAAGAATGGATCTGAATATTGACTTTGAAGAGAGCCACCCTATTGGGGAATATTGCTCAGTTAAGTTTTTAAAATTTTAAAATGGAGCTTTAACGCTGATTTAAAAATTGCTTATTTGGTTAGTTATTTTTTTTAAGAAATATATTTTACTAAAAATAGGATTCTGAGTACACAACTAGATACAATTTGTTAATCATATATAGGCAGACAACCTATATATGCCCTTGGTAACATGTTTTGCCCATTTTTGCCTATTTGAAATTGTAGTAATCTCCAAAAACCCTGCCGAAATACCTCCTCTTCCAGAAATCCCAGAACCTCTCACCTCACATTCATAATTGATAGACCCCTTACTGGAGGACTTGAACTTCAAAACCAGTCTTAGCAAATTAGCCAATCTCTAAGCAACTTAGTGAGACCCTGTCTCAAAATAAAAACTAAAAAGTGCTGGGGATGTGGTCCAATGGTAAAATGACCCTGAGTTCAGCACCAAAAATAAAATAAAAAATAGTTCCCTTCCTTATTCCCCCTAGTACTATACTTGTCTTTCTATCTGCGCTTATAAAATGCCTTATGTGAACTTTGTACCTGTTTCATCCCTTTTAAATTACCGTCTCCCTAAGACTTTAATCATCACAATGTTAAATAAATGTTAGTTGAATTTAAGAGAGCAATGGAAATGTACTCAACATAGTTCTGTCTTAAATTCTCTATGAAATCATCCATAGCCGTAGCACCAGTTTGTCGCTCTTCAGTATCATGTCACTGCTTACAGTCCTTATCTAGTCTTCTATATTCATTCTCAAGAGGCAATGATCCTTGAAAAGCATATTTTTTTTTGGTGCTACTTGATATTTTCCATGCTTATATCACCATATATCATCTCTTCCACACTACATCACACAGCCAACCCAGGTTACTCTTTTTAGATGTAATAATAATAATATAAGTATCCATTTGTAACCAAAACTTAGCATCATACTTCATGAAGAATTTGCCATAGACGAGTGTGGCATGACACACCCATTGAAAGCCACCGTCTTAAAATAGTCCTCTGATCTAGATGCCTCATTTTGTAACCTAAATCTGGCCATTTCTGTCTCATAGAGCTGACTTGATTTTAGTATAGCAAGCCTCATTTCATCTAATACTAGAGAACCACAGAGATCATCATTTTACTCTATATTCTATTCTGTGGCCTGCTAGCCTTCATCTTTCATTCAGTTGGAATCAAATTATTATGCTTTTAACAAACTGTTATTCTTAGCACATCTGTAATTTATCATAGATAATAGTGGCTATGTATCTCAATTTCCCAAGGCTGTTTTTAGTTTATCCCTGTTATCCATGTAATTATTAATAGTCACTCTTTATTCTAAAGGTCCTGGTTTGGACAATTATATGTTTACCTAACCATATAGGGGTACTTCTTGTGCTACCACAGGTGTAACCAAGCAAGTACATAAATTGGGAGCTTGTTCTTTCTATTATTTTCATTTTTCTCTAATTTTCAGAGCCTAATTTTTATAGCTATATATGCCCTTTAATAATTTAAACAAATTATTTTCTTTCTAATTATTGTAATTTGTTAGAATATCATTGGGAAACCTGTTGAAGCTAATCTCATATATTTGTTCCCAGGTTCCTCTTTTGGCTGAAATTAATGGTATAGAGAGAAACATTTTCAGACTTAAAATCAATGAAGAAACTCCACTGAAACCCAGGTATGAAGTGCCTGACGTCCTCATCAGCAAGCCAAAGACTGTAAGGTAAGCCAAGGAACAAGATATCTTAGATACACCCTCTACATGTTCTTTTATCATACCTTGAATACCTGAGTTTTTTTATATGCCTCCTATTTTGTCTTTTCAAAACTATAATCATTTTTAGGGTTAGTATTCAATTATTCGGGGATAAGTTTATCAGTTTTCTATGTTATCCATTCTATTTATTCTTTACCACTTTACTTACCAGCACCTATTAATAGGGGAACAGAACTTTGATCCCCACTTTCCTTCTCACAACAAAACAGTTTATTAGCTAGACTTTGGGAGCAAGTAGAAAGAAAACTATTTATTCAGATTAACAGCAAGGCTCTAGAGACCTAATTTACCAGCCAAATTCCCATACCAATAGTAATTTATAATTTAGACTAACTCACTCTTAATTAAGGGTATTCTTAGAAGTCTAAAATGTAATTTTACTTAGAGAGAAATTAATTATTGGTACCTAGGTGAAAAAATCTTTAGGGACTAAAGCATTTTTCGAATGTGTGCAAAATCTTAATCAGTTTTCCCCACAGTGAGATTTCAAGTCTGTTTCTCCCAGTTGATTTCTGTTTTTTGTTTTTTCATATTTTTTCACTAAGGAAAAATAAAACTATGCCAGATATTTTAATTTTCGCTATCACTCCCATGGTTTTAGGTAGATTATTTTTTCCACAAAAATATTATTAAAGGTCAGTAGAGGACTGTGGTTATAGCTCAGTGGTAGAGTGTTTGCCTAGCATGTGTGAGGCACTGGGTTCAATCCTCAGCACATTAAATAAATAAATAGATAGATAGATAAAATGAAGGTGTTGTACCTATCTACAACTAAAAAAATTTATAAAAAATATTTTTAAAAGGTCAGTAGAAATATGGAAAAACCTATTTTATTATGATAAATTAAAGTCATCTATTCACTGAACTGCTATTGTATGCCAAGAAAACAGGATTAAAGGAGACTGTTTTCGAGCCTTTACAGTTTGACAATTGAGTTTATGCATATATATAACCAATTGGTCACAGTAAGTTATTTTTTAATGATGGAGGTTTCACTTTGCTTAGAGATCCTTTAACATTTTGAATTCTGCATTCACAAGTAAAATTAATATAATAGTTTTTCTCTACTATCTTTGCCATGTTTTAGATTCTGGATGATATTAATTTTGAGCGGTAAATATGACTATTAGTTCTGCTTCTGTTCCCACCTCTTTCTAGAGGGCCTGTCACTATTGCAACTAAAAACCTAAAAACTGCATTTCTCAGATTCCCTTGTACCTAGAGTTTCTGATGTAATTTAGTTTCTACCAATCATATGCATGTACATAAATGTTGATTTTAGTACTAAATTCTCCATTTTGTTTGTGTAGATCTGGCAGCTGTAGACTGGCTCTAAGGCCATTAGTTAGGATCACAGGTTCCTAATCTCCATAGTAGCACTAATATGGCATGATCCTAGAACCCAACAATTGCCACAGTGATTTCTGATTATCCAACTTCCTAAGATAGAAGTTCCATTTATTTTATCATAGTTCTGATGTTTAGAAAGCCAAGATCAAGGTGTTAGCAGGCTTGGTTTCTTAAAAGGCCTATCTCCTAGGCCTTACAAGAAGCGTGTCTACTTTCTTGCTGTGTCCTCACATAACTGTCCGTGTGTGTGTGTGTTTGTGTGTCTGTGTGTGTCTGCGCATATCTCTGCGTGCACATGCATGCATGCTTCTGTGTCCTCTAATCTCTTCTCATAAGGACACTAGTCATAATAGACTTTATAATGACTTCATGCGATAGGATTTTGATTTTCACTTAATTACTTCTTTAAAGGTCCTATCTCCAAATACAGTCACACACTGAAGTACTAGGAGTTAGGGCTTCAAAATATGAAACTGAGATATAAGTTCCATTGGCCATACAGTAATACAGTATTGTTTCTAGGGGTCATTACTAGATGTATAGTCTGAAACCTTCCCATGATGTAAGCAAAGAGTTTCCACTATTAAGTCATTTATTTTCTGCCAGAGTTCTTCCTATTATTACCAGTTGATCCCTTGTTAATAAAGTAGTTGCTATCCGAAGTGGGTATAGGCAACAGAACCTCAAGAATGGGAATATGCGATTGGCTTTTGATCTAGTTAGATTTGAAGGCAATGAGGACCTGGTTACCATTATGTGATGGAATACTAATATGAACTGAATTGTGTCTTCCCAAAAAATTGATTTTTTTGAACCCCTAACTCCTAATACCTCAAAATGTAACAGTATTTGCGATGGGCCTTTAAAGAGGTAATTAAGTTAAAATGAGGACATTAGGTTGGGCCTCACCAATTATGACTGGTGTCCTTATAAGAAAAGGAGATTAGGGCACACACACACACACACACACACACACACACACACACAGGAACACTCATATGAGGACTCAGAAATAAGGTTCAGCAAGCCTAGGGAATAGGCCTTACAAGAAACCACACCTGGCCAAGTGCAATAGCACATACCTGTAATCCCAATGACTCGGAAGGCTGAGTCAGAAAAATAAGAAGTTTAATGCCAGCCTGGACAACTTAGTGAGACCCTATCTCAAAATAAAAAGGGCTATAAATCTAGTTCAGGGGTAGAGTTTCCCTAGATTTAATTCCCAGTACACAGTGGTAGGGGGTATAGAAACCAAACCTTCCAACACCTTGGTCTTGGAATTCCAGCTTCCAGAACTATGAGAAAATAAATTTCTATTGTTTAAGCATGTACCCACCCTGTGATATTTTGTTTTGGATGCATAGCAAACTAATATAAGTAGTAATAAACCATGGTATTCTGTGTCAAAGTTACTTAAATTACTACTGGTGATCAACTGAAATAAAACACCTATTGAAAGCAGACCAGGAGGTAGAACCATAGCACTAAACTCTGTGGTAGCCTAGCTGCTATTAGCTTCCCTGAAGAGCTTAATGAAAGAAAACAGTCTTAGGACTTTAAATTCTTAACTCATGATTTTTTCAGAGAACTATCCTGAAATTCTATCATCTCTTGTAGCTTCAGGGTCCTTGTAGCTGAAAATCACATACAGAGTTTGATACTAAAGCTATTGAATGAGAACCGAAGTTGAATTCACAACTTCCTCACATCTGTGAACTTAGGGAGTTAACTGGGAAGAGGAAGGACCTGTTAAAATTTAATGGCAACATTTGCAAGAGTTTCATAAACCTAAATACCTGAACTTCAGAACTCCACTGAGCTTCCCATTCTTGAAGAAATGGCTCTTCTTGCTATATCCAATAAGATTGATCCTGACTTGCTTGACCCTGACCTCATCTAAGAGAAACCTTGAAAAGGGATTTCAATGTTCCTTGTTTTACCCTTACCATCCTTGATTCCCTCCAGACTCATTGTCACAGCCAGATCCCAATTTATTTGAGCATATTACATTCAACCTTAGGAGGAGAAGGCTTGCATGCTTACAGAATTATAAGAATTTATGATGACAAAAACCTGGGAAATGTGTGGAAATTATTTCTGGGGGATTTTTAGACAAGAAGAAAGAAACTTATTTTAGATCAGGTTAAATTTATTGACACAGGTACATGTACCAGAGAATATAGATTTGATATCTAAATGGGACAGCTGAGAGTGGTTCAGGTAGTTTGCTTGGTTGATTAACTTTGAACTATGGATTCTGCTGATTAAACTGAGATCCAAAAATTCCAAAGCACAGCAAAGAAGAAATGATTCATAGACTTAGGGAAATAAAGATGTTCAAGTGGATTTGTCACATAAAACCAGCTCACCTAGCCCCTCATTCTTTCTGCAAGAGAATCCAGAAGATACCCCTTCATTGAGAAATACATTAGCAAAGGAACAGTTGGAAAGCATTGCAATGAATTTTTTTCTTTTGCAGACTGGAGATAATAGTGGGAATTGATGCCATTAAAATGGCCTCTCTGCAGTGGCAATGATAAAAGATTCAAGGTGATAGAGGTAGCAGCATTTAATTGTGAGAGACAAAGTGGACATAATTTCATAATATGCAGTAAGGCTCACATAGTACACAAAACATTTTAACCCTCAGGGTAGTTAACAATTTATCCTGGGGTCCATTAGTCTAAGACAGATGGACTAGAGTCCTGCTTAATGAGCAGTGAGACAGCCTCTCAACCACTCCAGACAATTGGTTTCCAGGTCCCAAGCATCTACGTGAAAGGGAGTCCTAGAATCCATGGAAAATGACTGAAAGGACATAGTAAGAACATAAACTGTCCCATATCATCATCCCTAAAAGATCCTATGATTGTTTACCAGAGTGAATGTGCACTACAAAAATGGAGAAATCTAGGACTGAGAGGGATTTTAAGTGCTGGCTCTGAGCTTACATCCTTAGGCTCCAAAACATCTTAAGAGTCTGCCTATCGAATTGGAGGCTGATGAGGTATAATAATAAGTAAATAAATAAAAGTAATAAGTAGTAACAAGTAGATAAATAAAAATTGACCTGGTCCATTTCCTGTAGACTCCTTAATTTCTGAATATATGGTGGAAATGAGAAAGGAAAATAATGTTTAAATTCTGAAGTGTTACTAGACTTTACACACAAAAGTAATACTGATGATGACAGTTAACACTTGAATGTTTCTGTGTCAGGTACTATGCATGGTCTTACTTAATTCTGTCCAAAAAACTATTTTGGTTACAACTTTTATCTGTACTTTACAGATAAGAAAACTGAGATATAGAAATGTTGAATAACTTCATTATCTAATGTTATAAAGTAATATAGTAAAGTTATGTTCAATATAAGCTCTCTTGACACCAAAGCCCATGCTCTCAACAATGGTTTTCCACTGTCCTATCTATGCTATATTCATTAAGATTGATTTACTAATTAATTACTTTGAATTACAAGTCACATAGAACCACGTAGACCTATAGCAATTTATTTTCCTTTCCTGCTCTGTTTTCTAGGCTGATTTCATGCTCAGGGGATAAAGGCAGTCTGATATTGGAAGATGGAAAAGGAGATCTGAAGTGTCATATCACAGAAAACCCATTCAAGATAGATTTGGTATCTGAAAAAGAGGTTGTGATGAGCATAAATTCCCAGGGCAAATTATTCTTTGAGCACCTACAGATTCCTCCCAAACAAAGGTATTTTTACATATTACTTAATGCATAAAGACCTAACAAAAACCTGGTTATGAGTATCAGCTGCTTATCAGGATAATAAATTCATCACAGAAAATTGGTTTAACGTTTTTGCTGTGATATTCTGAGGAATTTCATGTTTCCATATGTGCAGGTAAATACATGCTTTGTGACAAAAATGATTCCCAAACTTTTGAGAATGTCACATTCTTACTACACCCTGGGTGTGACTGATGGCATTCTCTCCCTCCATAGCCTTCTAAAAAAGTATTAATGTAAACTATTATGTCTTCAAAATGTCACTTTCTCCCCTAGAATAACTTGAGTAACTGTAAGTATGAATAGTTCTACAGGAATGTTCTTGGACTATCCACTCCATCAAAGCTACTTGTTCCCAGTCACATAATTAAGAAGTAATGATAAGGAAGAGATTCTTCCTTTAAAAAAAAATTATTTTAAGTCTTCCAGTCAGTAGTTCTTTGCATTTTTATCATAATAGTGAACATATTACATGGTCTTCAGAGAGCATTTAGCAGTCATTATTCCCAAATAGTGAGAGGTTTTTTCCTGGGTTTCATTTTATTTCTATCTTAAATTATAAATTTTAAATATTAAAAATATCTTGGGCCTGGAGCTATAGCTCTGTGGTACAATACTTGCCTAGTGTATGTGAAGCCCTGAGTTAAACCACCAGTGTCACAAATAAAAATAAATAAATAAAATAAAATCCTCCTAGAGAATGAGTGAGTTAGGATGCAGGATACAAGATTAAATATGCAAGAGTCAGTTACTTTCCTGTATACCAGCAATGAAAAGTGCAATTTGAAATAAAAAACACATTTACCACTTATATTAGCACCCTCAAAACAAAATACTTATCTTTAAATTTAAAAATAAGTGAAAGATATATGTGAGGAAGACTACAATACTCTGATGAAATATTTCAAAGAACCGTATAAATAGTAAGTTGTTTTGTTTTCATGGATAGAACACCAGGATATTGTCAAGATGCCAGTTCTCCCAACCTTATCTGTATAGTCAAAGCAATCTAAATTAAAAGCCCAGCAAGTTATTTTGTGAATATTGACAAACCAAAGTTGTATGGAAAGGCAAAAGATCCAGAATAGCCAACTCATCACTGAGGAGACTAACAAAGTTGGAGAACTGATAGCCTAACTCAAGACTTACTACAAGGCTACAGTAATAGAGATAGTGTGGTATTAGTGAAAGGGCAGACATATAAATCAGTGGAACAGAATAGAAAGCCCAGAAATAGACTCACACAGTGGTCAAATGATCTTTAGCAAAGAGCAAATGTAGTACAGAGCCAATAGTCTTCAACAAATGATACTGGAACCATTAGATGTCTACATGCAAAGAGTAAATCTAGGCACAGACCCTATTGACTTCACAAAACATGATCTCAAGGTGGATCAGAAACCTAAATGTAGAGGCTGGGGTTGTAGCTTAGTGGTGGAGTACTTGCCCTCATGTGTGAGGCACTTAGTTTGATTCCCAGCACCAAATAAAAAAACTAAATAAAATAAAGGTATTGTGTCCATCTACAACTAAAAATATTAAAAAATTTTAAAAATAAAGGCATAGTGTCCATCCACAACTAAAAAAAAGAAAGAAAGAAAGAAGGATACCTGAATGTAAACAACAAAAATGTTAAATTCCTAGAAGATAACAAAGAATAATACCTAAATGACCTTGAATATGATAATATCTTCTTTAGATATAATATCAAAGAAACAATTGACAAAACTTAACTTCATTAAAATTAAAAACTTCTTTTTTTTTTGAGAGTCTTGCTAAATTTCTAGGTTTGTCTTAAGCTTCTGATCCTCCTGCCTCAGCCTCCTGAGTAGCAGGGATTACAGGTGTGTAACACAGCTGGGGTTGTGGCTCAGCAGTAGAGCGCTTGCCTAGCATGTGTGAGGTGCTGGGTTCTATGCACATAAAAATAATAAATAAAATAAAGGTATTGTGTCCAACTACAACTAAAAAAAAATTAAAAACTCTGCCCTATGAAAGATAATGTCAAGAGAACATAAAAACAAGCTGTAGACTAGGAGAAAATATTTGCAAAAGACCCATCTGATAAAAGATTATTATCCAAAGTATATAAAGAGCTAAACTTGATAGTAAGAAAACAAATCCCAGTTAAATAGTAGGCAAAAAAATTATTAACAACTCACAAAAGAAGATACACAAATGACAAGTGGGCATATAAACTTCATTAGGGAATTGCAAGTTGAAATAAGGAGATTCTAGCACATATCTATTAGAATGACCAAAATCTAAAACCCTGATAACATCAACTATTGTAGAGGATGTGGAACAACAGAAATTAATTCATTGCTAGTAGGAATGCAAAATGTTACAGCCAGGAGCTGGGGATGTGGCTCAAGCGGTAGTGCGTTTGCCTGGCATGCGTGCGGCCCGGGTTCAATCCTCAGCACCACATACAAACAGAGATGTTGTGTCCACCGAAAACTAAAAAATAAATATTAAAATTCTTTCTCTCCTCTCTCTCTCTCTTTCTCTCTCTCTCTCTCTCTCTCTTTCTCTCTCTCTTTAAAAAAAGGATTTTCTTAAAAAAATGTTACAGCCACTTTTGGAAGAAATTAGGCTATTTCTTTCAGAACTGAACTTATTCTTCCCATATTATCTAGCAATCACATTCCTTGGTATTTTCCCAAATGTATTGAACACTTATGTCCACAAAGAAAACTACACATGGAAGTTCATAACAGCTTTATTCTTAATTCATAAAACATGGAAGCAACCAAAATATCTATTAGTAGGTTAATTGACTAACTGTGGAACACCCAGATAATGGAATATACTATTCAGCACTAAGAAGAAATGAGCTGTCAAGCCATGAAAATATCATGGAGGACCAGGAAATAAAATTGATCAAATTATGTGCATATGTGAACATGGCATGCTGAATCCCACTCAAGTATAATAATTATGAACATTTTTAAAATGTTTAAAAACAAATATCATGGAAGAAATTCATATGCCTATTACTAAATGACAGAAGCTAATCGTAAATCTGGGCATCTGATTACATACTGTGTAATTCCAACTATAGGACATTCTAGAAAAGATAAAACTGTGGAGATAGTAAAAAGATTAGTAGTGGCCAGAGGTTGTAGGAACAGAGCACAGAGGACTTTATAGTAGCAGAACTACTCTATGTGATACTACAATGGAGGATTCATGTCATACATTTATCTATGCCTCAATTGCTTTAAAAAATAAAGTTTATTAATATTTTAAAATTAAAAGGTAGGCATGCATTGTAATCCCTGCTACTCAGGAGGCTGAGGCAGGAGGATTACAAGCTCAAGACAAATCTAGAAATTTAGCAAGACTCTCAAAAAAAAAGAAGAAGAAGAAGAAAAAGAACTATGGATATAGCTCAGCTCAGCTCAGCAGTAGAGCACTTGCCTAGCATGTATAACATCCTAGGTTCCATCCCTACTACCACAAAAATAAATAAATAGTAAAATACCAGGGAAATTTTTTAACATCTATAAGAATTAAAAAATTAATATGTACAGGGTTGGGGTTGTGGCTCAGCGGTAGAATGCTCACCTAGCACATGCAAGGCCCTGGGTTTGATCCTCAGCACCACATAAAAATAAATAAATAAATAAAGTAAAGGTATTGCATCCAACTACAACTAAAAAATTAAAAAAAAATTTTAAAGCATTAATATGTACAAATTGGGCACAATAGCTCATGCCTGTAATCCCAGCAGTTCAGGAGACTGAGGCAGGAGGATTGCAAATTCAATTGCAATGTCAGCAATTTAATGAGGCCCTAAAGACTTAGCAAGAGAAAATAAAACATTTAAAAAAAAGGGGGTTGGGAAGAGTTCCAAGATGGCAGAATAGAGGAGGTCGTGTTCCTGGCTGTTCTGTGGCATGAAACCAAGAAAGCAAGGTGGGTGAACAAAAAAAAAAGGAAGAGAGGGACTTTATTCAAACCTAAAACTGAACATTCAAAGCAGACATGGGACACGGGATGTTGGATATAATAAAATAAGGAAAAAAATCCCCACTGGCATAGGTGCTGCCACAGCCCAGTCAGAAGCTCCAGATAGAGAGGTCCATCCATGAGCATAGTAGAGAGAAAAGGGAAGTAAAGAAACTGGCATTTTGGGGAGGCCTGAGGTATGTCTGGGTTTGGAACATTTAGAGACCAAAGAGATTGCTCAACAAACCCGAAGAACTCTCTGCAAGATATTTGTGTGGGGAAAGAAGCTGCCATCTCTCCAGGTAGCATTCAGAGGACAAAGGAAAGAACCACTTTGCAGCTTCTTCAAGAGGTCTAGCAACTGAGGAAGCCAATTCCTAGCAAACCCAAGTTTGGCCCAAAATACAGGCTCAGTAATACACACTATGTGTGACATAGAGTGTGCTTAAGTAACCAGAAGAAAATCAAACATGGAGAAAGGTTTATACAGGGGACAACTGATGGAGGAAACCCACCCAGCTTTCCCCCTCACCCTCCAATCCAGCTGGGAGAGTCACATTTGGCCAGGAATTCAGAAGGGTAGGGGGCATGAGAAATTTTTGAAGTTAACCCAAGACCAGGAAATTTGGGGTCTGTAGGTGACACAGGGGACTAAAAATTGGCTCCCCCACCACACAAGTGGAACCCAGGTGAGATCCCTGGGGTATAGTGTTCCAGTGTGGAGCAAAACTGGGCATTGGAGGTGTGCTGATTTAAATCTTTAGACCAATTAGCATTCATCAAAGAGCCTGGAGCCTGCCTAAGCCTAAAACCCTGCCTCCAGGAACTCCACCTGTGGGACTCTACCTCTCTCACTCCAGCAATCTAGAGGGTGGAACATCACACTCCAGAAGACCCCACCAAAAAATGCTGAGAAGTTGAGACTATTTTGAATTCCAATGGAAAGAATTCTTTAAATTTTCATGAAGACTTTTTTTCCTTTCTTTGTTTTTATAAATTCTTTTTCACTG